TAAAAGGACTAGCGAGTGAGTAATGAATATTGACATTATAACCAGTCTGTAAATAACATTCAAATTCACATATAGAATTATTGGAATTTTTTAAAACCATTTTGAAAAAATAGAACATCCTCCCATAACATATGTGGGACATTTCAACGTCCCCTCCACTTAAAAAATAGCTCTGGGCATGACCCATTCCTTGCCTGGATGTCATCTAAAGATGGGTCTATCTCTGCCTCATAGTAATTGATACAGGTCTCAACACATTTGACCTAACCAGACGGAACAAACTAAGAATGCAGCCACAAGTGCAAGGTGTAGATTTACTGTAAGATGATGTTTTGTATATGTTTGCACACATAGAGTTTACATTAAATAGCACACATAAAATTTCAGCGATTTGTTTTTTGACATTTTATTTAAAAAAACGATGGAATGTTTTATTTTTTCTATTCACAGTATTTATTTCAACTGTTTCATGACAGATTCATTTCAGAAAAGCTTTACTACACTGATTCGGGCAACCACAAAAGCTGCTTCCCTACTCTAACAGCCTGTTCATACTGTAGTAGACACAGGCTTCAGAGTTGTTCGGAGTTGAGCTTAATACTTCAAACTGTACAATTTTTAAAATCCTATATTAATCCTGCTTTGCAGCACAAAAGTAATTTTAAGCATACAATAACCAAAATTGATGGCTCTTCAGGCTCATTTAAAATTTATAATCAGACAATACTGTTAAAATGAGCATAAAATTAAAGTCATTTCAGTGAACTATCATGTAACATATGTTATATTTGGGATTACACTTTCTTAGTAAAGTACATGTGTATTCTAGTATCATGGTCACATTGGTGGAATGATTTATAAGGAAAATTTGTGTAAATTATTACTCCAAATAATTTATACAGAAATTCATTACTAATTATTCCACCATGATAGAACGCTAACTTTGTGTGTATGTAATTGTAATAGCATTTTGTTAAATTTCATTGATAAAACATGCAACTTTTTAATCATGCCTCAAGTAAGGTGATATGTATTGCTACATGAGATATACTGGAAATCATCACAAGGACTGCCTTGATTTCACAACAACACCATAAAAACGTGGGACTTACTGTTCATGTATTCTTTCATGTGCAGGGATAGCTACTTTTTTCTTCTTGATAAACGAAGGGACAACCCTGATCTGAGAATCCGTCTGCCTGAAATACAAGTTTTATTAGCATGAAGTCATACTTATGATTTGTTTTGGTTCATTTCAAACTTTTGTTTAATGAAGGACACTAAAAACAACAGTATGTAATCCTTTAGCCTTGTAGTAACTGAGCAGCCCTTTAGACAACTTGTATTGTAGCAAACAACATCTACAAAGTTTGTATCTCACTATGTAAGTACATGTAGTCCAAAAGGATAAGGCTATTATATCCTTTTTCTTTTGAGAAGATGTATCAGAATTGAATTAGATGCTTTATTGGCAGTTTAGAAGATGCATGCTATCTTATGAACATAGAGAATTTTCTGGGTTTCATATTCTTTTTATTGAGCTGTAGAAATTACTGTAGAACTAAAGAACAGTAACTTTCTAGAACTGTTCAACAGTTACTGTTGTTTAGTTCTACCTGATGATGGGGTCAGAAGAAGCCCTGAAACATTGTACCAAACAATAAAATGAGGATGAAACCCAGAAAATTCTCTATCAGGGATTGGGAAGGGCAGGGGCCATGGGCCATTTTGCACACTAGAATACAAAACAGCCCATTAAAATTTGGAAGTTTACTATTGATACAAGGGTAGTGCCCATTCTAAATTCAGAAAATGGCTAATAATCCTGAAAATGGCCCATTGTAAAAGTTCTCTATCCCAATCCCTGCTCTATGTTCAGAAATAAATTGTTTGATATGTTTGTGAAAGGATTGATAGTCCTGACACAATTGGGTGAAAAGCCTTGTTTGTGTTGTTGACTACATAGACCAATCAGGCTAGTACTTACTTGAATTCTTCATTGTTGGTTACAACCTCCTCCTGTGAGTACTTACTTTCCTGCCCTGCAGAAAAAAAGAAAAAGGAAAAGTAAAACAACTGGACATTCAATTTAAAGAATGTAATATAAGTTGTGCTGACTGTCATTAACACATACATACCCCAGGTGCCAGATGCCAAGCTGGAATGATTGCTGACTGCTGCGTTAAACAACAGACCCCCCCCCAAAAAAAACCAACAACAACAACAACAACAACAAACAAACCCAAAAACAACAGCCTCATAAACAGGTGTCAGGTACTAGTGTCATGGCTCATGATGGATGATATATGCTTTCATTTACATTGGTCAAGAAACCAGATCCACATTTTCACCCCTCAATAAGTTCAGAATTGCTGGATTATTACAGAAAGACACAAATTCATTGTAACTAGGGCTCTCACGAGTCCAAAATTTGGGACTCGAGTACTCGAGGTGTCAGACCCGACTCGGACCCGAGTACCCGACAATTTGGATGCTTATCTGAAACCAACTTTCAAGCATACACGTAGCTGTTCCAACTTCCAATCTACGAATAATGCAACATGTATATGTGAATACAAACGTTCCTGAATAAAGCAATTGGTATTCAATGTCAATGGAAGTATCTATTACCTTTTTATTTGCAAACAGAATGTGAAGGCAACGTAAGTGTCACTGTGACCCAGTTCTACGCGATCAATTATGTGATTAATATTCATGAGCTGGGCCGGTGATACCTTATTACGCCTGTAAATGCTGTAAAATGATTGGATGTGTCCGGGAAAAGAAACCAATCAATCTACTTCTCTTTTCTTTTGGTTTTAAGTTTGACTGCGCTTTCAAGATTATCTAATATTAATATGTCGTTGCAGTTATGACATATTAGCAACTTTTAAACATTAACCTGGACGATAAGTCACATAATCAATTAACCTTAATCACGGTTAAAATGTGGCAAAACACGTTCCAAAGCTGGAAGATACATAGATAAAGCGTTCATTGATTGGTGCTGCATTAGATACTAGTATCTTGTAAAGATGGATCGACTATGGAACTTAAAGAATATGTAAAACAGGATTGATGTTTATTTGAGACTTCTTATAATGAAAACGGTTTGGTTTCAAACTAAAGACTAACCATTTATTGAGTAACACTACGCTGTATTTCTTCTTCCGAAACTCTGCTGAACGGAGATCACGTCAATGGTATTCATTGTGATTAAAATTTTCACTATTAAGGATATAGGTCTCCAAGTGTGAATGTTATTTTGAATGCGTATGTATGTGTAGATTGTTGAATATGTAACACTGAAATACGCTGGATAAGAACGACTGAATATCTATGTAGAAAACAAGTTGTTCAAACATAGGTATAGTGGGCAGGGACAGTGATACAGCCGTGAGTGGTTACGCTTGTCCACGCGTCCGTAGTTAGGGCAACGGCAGGTACTGTTTTGGGTACTGATATTTTGTTCTCCTTGCAAACTTCATACGACATTATGAGGTAGTTGTGAATTGCGGCAGTACATGGGACCTGGTAATTTGGGTTCAATGGTTCACAGAAAGCCCTGAAACCCTCCCTTTTTAACAAGACTTAATGGTCGCATATCCTTAACGCGCATAAGCATTGCTTTTTGCGTAATACCTTCATACCATTTCCTGTCAACAGGCTTGCGACTTTTGCTATCAAACTTACCAAACTGCCCCAGCGTTGCTTGTTGAGCTGGTTTTCTGTCTACAGTGCTATATTGTGGGTGCTTACAGGACAAATGCTTGTGTAAATAAGGGAAACGCCACAAAGACGGCATTTCGTATTTTGGCCACTAAATCAAGATACAAATGCGTCCAGACATTGGATTTTTTCTCACGATCATCCATCTTGATTGCATGAGATGTTTAGAGGTATCTCCCCTGCGAGTCTTCGAGTCCATTCAATTGGACTCGAGTCCTGCTTTACCCGACTCGGCCCCGAGTACTCGTGAGAGCCCTAATTGTAACAGCTGTGTCATACTGAATATCTCTCAAAATAATACACAGCACAGAGATCAATCTGTGACATCAGGGTACTAACAAAACTCAATCTGTGACATCAGGGTACTAACGAAACATAATCTGTGACATCAGGGTACTAACAAAACACAAACTGTGACATCAGGGTACTAACAAAACACAAACTGTGACATCAGGGTACTAACAAAACACAATCTGTGACATCAGGGTACTAACAAAACACAATCTGTGACATCGGGGTACTAACAAAACACAATCTGTGACATCAGGGTACTAACAAAACAATCTGTGACATCAGGGTACTAACAAAACACAATCTGTGACATCAGCATACTAACAAAACACAATCTGTGACATCAGGGTACTAACAAAACACAATCAGTGGTAAGAGTTTCATAGGATTTGAGGGGTGGTGGGGTAGCTTAATGGTTAAAGCGTTTGCTTGTCACGCCGCGTACGATATCCTCACATGGGTACAATTTGTGAAGCCCATATCTGGTGCCCCTACCGTGATATTGCAGGAATATTGCTAAAATAGTGTAAACTAAACTCACTCACTCACATACTCACTCATAGGATTTGAACCCCAACATCACAATATTATTCATTTTAGGGGACAGTTGACAAGAATGATAAAATATCTCTCTTACTTATTATTACAATTTCACAATTTTATTACTTTACAGGACCCTTAAGTTTCCTGAGAAGACCCTTGAAATGAGCAATTAGGGGTCTGCTCGATTTCCGTAACTGTAACGTCTTTCACTCTTCCTAAAACATTATTATCCCATACTTTGGTCCTAAAATCCCACAAGAGTTGCTGATGTGACTTAAACACAAAACTTAAAGGTCATCACATGCAACGTAAAACACAACTTTGCAGATTCTGATACCTTTCGGTATGGACTTACCGAAACAAAGCGTAAAAAATGCAAATTCAACTTATAAAGTTGAAAAATAACGCGATGAAAAAAAACGCGCGAAATCGGAGTTCAAACGTTTCACTAATTTTCCCCAGACTTTTCTGGGGAATACGGGTTTCAACAGCTGGGCTGCGCTCATAGCACGTGCGCAGTGAAATAGGTTCGCGCAACTTGGAAGCGGGCTGTCTGGTGAATACTCGGTGAAGGCTTTGGTGTGAGCTATTTTCATAATGTTTTGTTGATATCTCACAGGCGCGAGCTTTTTATATGTTATGACAGTAAATAAACTGTTTATATAATTTCATTTGTCTATTTCACCACACGTTCTTCTTACCGAGTCACTTTCTCAGGTCGATACTTAAAAGCAATGTCATTATTTAGCGTTGACACAATTTCTAACTGTGATATAGATATGTCGTTGTCACAGACAAAACTCAATGTCTTGTTTTATTGACACCTGTGTGTCTGCCTGCCTGTCTGCTAATGACAATATTCAATACACAACTGCGATCACTGACCACATGCAATTTGAACTTAACACCAATCAGGCTATACACCATAAACAAAACGCATTGATTTATGGCCCGAGTTCTGTCTCTGTCACATTATGTAATTACACAGACAGGCAGGTGTGATACTTGAACACATGACATGTTATGATGTCTGTTGATTGCAAAATGTTATACACAAAAAATGAGCATGTATTTACAAAACCCAACATCTCTATATATACACACACAATCAGCCGTGAAGGCGGCATCTGCTAATGAACCAGCCGTTACACTTGAGTGCACACTCGACCGCTCTGACTGGGTTCGGTATCCCGGCTGCTTCGTTTCGAGGGAGGTAAACCCAAGTACAAAATATTGCACTTTTGATTTGCGATTATACGCTTATAATTCTGTTTATTTGTTTTTTCATAATCAGCAATGCATATTATATGTCATGAAGAAGTGATAATTGTGTTTTAATTATGTTTGATTTTTTGGTTGCATGTGACCTTTAAGAAAACACACTTTGCACTCAACCTGAAATAAATGTTTCAGTGCCTGAACATGAGTGTTTTATCCTACACAACGAAGACAACAAAGACTTGGACATGTCACTGGATCAGCTTGTATTATGACAATTATCCCTGACACTACCTGTCTTTGTGAGCAATCACACATGCAGATTATTGATGCTTCAAGTAAGTAAATACAATTGATGTTTAGTTATGTGACTGTGGTATTAATTATCCAAGGTAACTCCAACTGGGCCATACCACATAACATATGTAAGCTAAAGACCTTATAACTCCATGATATTCTACAATGGTAGCCATATGCCTACCATTTAGCTGGAAAGTTAATCTAGGCTTGTTTCTTGTCACAAAACAATATAAACCTATTATTCTAACATGATATTTAATCTCTTCCAAAGAATGCAATATGTAATACACTGGTGACACAGAATACAGAGAATTAATTAAGGAGCTTTTGGGCAGATAGAACATATTCTAGATATGTACTAGTGACCTGAAACACTTAACACAACATTCCATAACCTTGACATGATATGGTGTAACCTTGTGATGATATGGTGTAGCCTTGAGTTGATGTGGTGTAACCTTGTGATGTCGGATGAACCTTGACATGATATGGTGTAACATTGTGATGATATTGAGCAACCTTGTGACGATATGGTGTAACCTTGTGATGATATCATATGGTGTAGACTTGAGATGATATGGTGTAACCTTGTGATGATATGGAGCAACCTTGTGATGATATGGTGTAGGCTTGAGATGATATGGTGTAACTTTGTGATGATATGGAGGAACCTTGTGATGATATGTCGGAACCTTGTGATGATACGGTGTAACCTTGTGATGATATGTTGAGGCTTGAGATGATATGGTGTAATCTTGTGATGATATGGAGCAACCTTGTGATGATATGGTGTAACCTTGAGATGATATGGTGTAGGCTTGAGATGATATGGTGTAACCTTGTGATGATATGGGGCTATCATATGAATGTGTGTGGTATGAAATTTTAATATTTGAAAGCTCTTAAGTCAGTCATAATGAAAAAGAAAGGTACCTACCTTTTGAGGGACATTTTCTTTTCTTTCCCCTTCCTCTTGCCCTGTTGTTCATGACTACTAATTCTACCAACAACAGAAAACAGTGTACTACTTAGTCGAGATAAGTGCTAGAAGAAAAGAATAACCACAACCTTATGCAGACATTATTGAGTCATAGTGAAGCCTTCTTGGTTTGAAAAGTGTTCAAGTCTAATTTATGATTATATTGTACTTTGTAATCATGACATATGAGACCGTGGTCCATGGGTATATTGTTCGAGTCCCTGTTCGGGCGCCAAATGAGGCCCTGGTCACTCTTGTCTATCTCGCATCATCCAAAAAAGTAAAAAACATTAAAGATACAAAGGCACACTCCAATGACTTTTCACAAAAGCAATATGTTTTATCTAAATGTTGCTTTTGTCACTCTGCAATGTGTGTTAAATAGAAAGGTAAAACCCAATATGGCCAAACACAAATCAATCTCTTTGGAGTGATTTGGTGTATCATTCCTCCTATTTGTAGCCTCAATTTGTGGTTATATTTCAGGTGCGTGGATACTGCTGATTGGGTGCTTGGCAACTGGTTTAACAGTTGTGTGTTCTACAGTGTTTATGGAATATGATGGGGAGGGGGTCACTTACTTTGAACATAAATTTTAGGAGGGCCATTGACATTGTACATGCTTCTCCATACAAATCATCATATATAACTGGATGCCTCTGCACTATACCCAGATGTGCTCGATGTAGGCCTTGGCTGGAAGTTGCTTCGTTTGCAAAAGATCTATTAACAAAACAGAAAAGTGTAGCCAAGGTGCACATCCAGAAGACAAAATTGTCAGATGGAATGAGGCATTAGGGTCCATTGTTCTGCCATAAGATCTTATCTAATCACATTTAAAACTACAGTACCCAGTAATAACAACAATGTAAACTTATTTTGAAAAATGGAATAGTAATAAGCATTGTCCATTATTTTAAGCAACTGGAGCAAGTTTGTGACTGTGAAGAACTGAAGAAGTTTGAAAGCAAAGATTTTGAAGAGACGGTATCATTGACGGGTTGAATGGGAACATCCACATGTAAAACCCATTTTGTTTGGAATGAACATATACAAAAATTACTCTTTAACTACTTTTGAAGATTAGATAAGAGACACATGTTTATTGTCCACCTAATACCTGGCTGTTTATTCCCAAGCGTCTGAAATGAGTCTTGTTTTCGTCGTCTGCTGCAACCGGAAGTTAGATGCCGTAAACCATTATTGGAGTTGTGTCTAAACACGTTACGACATTTCATAATAAATGTATATATGAAAGATTTATTAGAATTTTGAGTGCATCACGTTGAATACTGGCTTTGTTTGCTTTGTCAGCAAGATAAATAAAAATGTACTCATGACTTACTTTAAGTCGTGAAACGAGACGCACCAAAATAACTAGAAAGTAAACCGGGTAAATTCGCATTTATGACATACTCTTATATAATCTATCAATCACGCAATTTGTAAGCACTATTGGAGTGTGGTACAACTGAATCCAAACACTTTGACGTTTCAGTCGCTGCTTGGTGTAGTAGTTCGAGCACCAGATTCGTCCGTTTACGACCTCTACAGTAACCCATACTTGTCGTAAGAGACGACTAACGGGATCGGGTGGTCAGGCTGGTTGGCTTGGTTGACACATGTCATCGGTCCCCAATTGCGCAGATCGATGCTCGTGCTGTTGATCAATGGATTGTCTGGTCCAGACTCGATTATTTACAGACCACCGCCATATAGCTGGAATATTGCTGAGTGCGGCGTAAACCTAAACTCACTCACTCCGTTTACGACCAAATTGATCTTTCTTTTAACAAGGAGACAACGGGCATGGTTACAATGCAAATATTATATGACATACAGATTCACAGTCTAAGTAAACTTAGGCTCAGTATTATTCGTTTACGTTTACTTAGACTGTACAGATTCACTGACCATGTTCGATACTACGGTCAAACTAGACAACGTTATCGTAAGTGTCATCAGTACGTGTTATTATCTACGATAGCTGGAAAGGGTATACAATTGGGAACGAAAGTCACAATTAAGCATTCTTTGGCTGTCTAGAAAATTCACCCAGGTAAGCAACTTTACTTTGGACTATTTTCTTAAAATCTTAATGCTATCATGTCAGTTTAATCTATCTTACCGTAACTACATGTTACCATCCTTGGCACTACCTTCAGGTCTATGTGGAACGTGGAATCCTTGCAGGTATCTCTCAGATACTCTGTATTACTGAACGTAGAGAATTTTCTGTGTTTCATCTTCTTGTATATTGTTTGGTACAACGTTTCAGGGCTTGTTCTGGACCCATCATCAGTTACTGTTCTTTAATTGTACCTGATGATGGGTAGTGTTGTCAGCTATTTTGTACATGAATATATTTAAAAAATGATGCTTAAAACGTATGGGTGGGTGAATCATTGACTTTATACATGACACGCAGGTGGGGTCACTGACTTTGTAGATAAATCTTAAGGGTTTCATTCACATTGTACATGCCTCTCCATAAAAATCATCATCACCAGTCCTAGCCATACATTATGAACGGATCCCTGGCACAACGGGTTTGAGCTGCCATCGACAGCAACTCTCTGATTGGTTCTTTGCAATTTTAGCCACGCCTACGTTTAACAAACATAACTGTCTGTTTCAAATGGATGTAAACCTTCTAAAAAGACAACCAACATTTGTTTTAAATAATGATAATTTTGTCGGAAACATGGTGACAAATACATCATTAAACATTTGAAGTAATTATTTTTTATAACTGTTTGTGACAGTGTAATGCCGTCTTTAGTATTATCCTACTTGCGACTAGACACGGCGGCGGTCTCAAACAGAATGATTTTAGATTCAAATATCCCGCGCAGATTTCCAAATTTGAATGCAGAATGTGGGCGTGGTACAAAGCAGAACTTTCACTTAATCCAATCACTCGCGCTTGGTCCAAAAACATTACGCTCTGGTCGCTGTTGATTGGTCGATGAATTTACAATAATGTATGGCTATATTCACTGTCGTTAGTACGTAATAGTGAGTGAGTTGGGTATAATGCTGCGTTAGGGGCGGTGGGGTAGCCTAGTGGTAAAAGCGTTCGCTCGTCACGGGTTCGATTGCCCAAATGGGTATAATGCGCGAAGCCCATTTCTGGTGTCCCCCGCCGTGATGTTGCTGGAATTTATTGCTAAAAGCGGCGTAAAACCATACTCACTCACTCTTAGTCTTGTGTGTGCAGACTTATGAAACATAAGGGGCGGTGGCGTAGCGGAGTGGTTAAAGCCTTCGCGCGTTTCACCGAAGACCCGGGTTCGAATCCCCACATGGGTACAATGCGTGAAGCCCATTTCTGGTGTCCCCCGCCGTGATATTGCTGGAATATTGCTAAAAGTGGCGTAAACCCATACTCACTCCCTCAGTGCCAACGATATATTTTCGATTCTTTCTGTAAAGAAGAACTTGACCAACCTCCTTATAACATTGGGACGAGGGTCATATAAGCCATACACGATCAAAATGAAATGTTATAATCATATTACAGTTACTAAAATATTATCACAGGATATTCAATTTAGGATGCGATGTGGTGCATTTATTTCACTCTTCAATAGTAAGAATATGCTGCATAAAATATATAATACTTTGCTTCAAACAACGATAATTCACGAAGCTGAAATAAAGAATTTAACATAAATTTAGAAATAAAACCAATATTAGCTCATAAGAAAACATTTGGTCAGATTAAGACGTGTGGAACCTTTTTCTAAAATAACATAAATGACACAACCATTCATTAAGACTTGATTTAACCTGTAACAATGTATTAACATAATTAATAATATTAAAGAAAATCAGGTGTTGCTAACAATCAGTTTATTTATACGAATACATTTCCACTGAGCAAACTAGCAATATATGATTAATAAATCATGAAAATACATAATCATAGTCCTTTAAACCATGAAGAATACAACCTCATTTCCTGTCTACCAATAACATACCAGCCACCACCTCTCTGGCTAAATATGATCATATTTTATCTGGTAAAATGCATCTAATTAGTCTGATGATGTGCAGCCGAGCGTCAGCCGAGAGTTCGGGCAATATGGGTTGCCGAAGCCCCCATCTGCCACCTTCCAAAACGTCGTCTCCGCTCGCTAAGTAACAGTCACACAACTTAAACTATTTACTTTGTCTATTGGAACATGATCCTAAAGTTGGTGTGCACTTTGTTTTGTACTGCAGTTTGTCTACGTTGACCGTATGCGAAGACTGACTGGGTGGTCAGGCTCGGTGATTCGACCGACTGCAAATATTGGTATATGTCTGTGTGTCTGTCCCTGACTTGAATATTTACAGGCCACCGTCATATATTGCATGATGGGCACTTCTTTATTCTCAAAGGCAAGAATTATTAGTTTAAATAATATTTTCTAGATTATATAAATCAAAAGAGTTGTCCGTATGAAAGGCGTCATAAGTTTGGTGAAGTTAAGCAACGTTGTGCGCGGGGAGTCTTTGGATGGGTGACCGTGTTTGGCAGCTTCACCCCTGAGAGTTTCTAGGACTGCCCCACACCGAAGCACATGTGATACATGTAGTCTCACCTTAAGCAAGTGAGTTCATCCAGCAGAAAATGGGTAGCCGATGAGATAAGTCATGTAACCATTAACCTCCTAGCACTTCACAGACAGCTTGGGTTATCCGGGGCAATAATAAAAACAGTTTATGCCCTTTAAGCATGCTTAGGCATGGATATATGCGCGGTATAAATATGCTATTATTATAAGAATGTCCGCTTATCTAGAGGGTATCTTAAAAGGATACAGCAAGGTTAGCGTTCCCAGTATGATACCGAAGTTGTGTTATATTCTGTGGCCCTGGTTACGTGGCTGGGATGTTGCTGACAGCAGCGTTCAGCAAAAGGCAGGAGTTCCTAACTCAGCTTCAACGCCGCTTCTGCTGTCAGTGACTTCCGATCTAGTTTACTGGTTCTGGTAAGTGGGAAGTTGTCGAAGAAGAGGACGTATTTCGGGACAACGTTGAGAGATGAAGACGGATCAAGTGCAAATTGTTTCTTGCAGAACACGATGACATCCTCCGCCGTTATTTCAGCACCCGGTTCAGGCTTCACGCATGCGCAGATCTCATGATGCATGATCTCATCAGGAACTGGAACAATGACCACCTGCTGCACTCCAGGACATGGCACCAGCACCTTCTCCAGCCACGTCGGGTAGATGATGTAGGCGCCGTGCATGATGGCGTCTGAACTTCTTCCCTCCACTACAATACTTCCGTCTTTATTCATATATCCAATATCACCAGTGTGGAACCAGCCATCTGACATAGGCAACACTTTGCTTTCATCACCGATGTAACCCATACTGAGTGTGTGAGTTTTCACAAGGATTTCTCCTCGGTTCTCATTCTCTGGAGCTGCTTCAGCCTCACAGGCTACTTTCACCTGTGCACCTGGGACAGGATACCCTGCGGTGTTGTCTATGAAGACATCAACACTGTCTTTGTTCACATTCAACGTTGCAGCAAGTCCTACTTCAGTAGAACCATAGACTGTCTGAAGCGAGTCTGATAGGAACCCTAATGCTCGAAGGTTCTCTTGCTTGATCGGCTGGCCTGCGGACATCAGGTTCTTGAACGGCGGTCTATTGAACCCCTTCTCCTTAGCTTTCTGGTACAAGAGTTCAATGTGAAATGGCATGGCGGCGAAAACGCTTACGTCCTCTTCATGAACGATATTCCATATCAGAGAAGCCAGATCTGCCACTGGTCCTGCTCCAACATCAACCAAAACACGAATACATCCATTACCTAGGTAGAAAGCTGGGTAACCGCCTATCCAACCCAGAGGTGCGGAGAGGAATATCTTTTCAGCTGTACCAACCTGAGCACTTTTAGTGAATAGATATGCATTGTTCAGGATGTTTCTGTGTGACTGTTTCACAAGTTTCGAGTACCCAGAGCTGCCAGATGTTGTAAATATTGACGCAAGGTCCGTTGACTTTGAGCCATCATAGACGTATGGCGGTTCTGATGTCAAACTTGCCAAGAAGCCATCCTTGTCCCTTTTAATTCGACAAAGCTGAACAATTTCCAATGGGCTGACGTGGTCCGACTGAACCTTTAAGTGGCCCATTCCTGATTCCAGGACAGAAAAATATTTCCGTAACACGTTCCAACCGCTGTCAGGTCCTTCAAGATCGGAAATTAAGATCTTACATCCTGTCCGTTTGATGCTGTCAGCAAGATCAGATCCATCTTCTCGAAGAACTTGGCCATTCATTGACACCGCTCCAGCCAGTTGTACTCCGAACTCAGCAACTATTCGCTCGGGACTGTTTGGGAGAGCAACACAGGCGGCGTCACCAGGCTTCAAGCCCATCTTGGTCAGTCTATGTGCAAATCTACTGGACATGTCCAACACGTCCCCCCTCGAAAGGACGAACCTTCCACCTGAACTCCAAAAGATGAATGCGGGCTTATTTGAATCAATACGTCCCCAATATTGGATTCTGTTGACGATTGTTTCATCATCAAACCTTTGATGGTCAGTGTCCGCCATATTGGTTGGTAGCTGGAACAAAGTTTACAGTTTTTAATTAGACTTCTATTTTGCATTTATCAAGTACTATACGTGATTAGCGCTGTTATAATTAAAATCAAATAATTTACTCAGATTCCTTACTTCTTATATCAAGATCTGATTACCTTCAACATAGGAGGTCGCATTACGTGATCTTCCTAATCAGCCAATTAGAATCGAGGTTTCTAAAGAGGATCGGAGGATTTACATCCGACTGGCTGAACAACCGATGCTTTTACTTTTAGATATGGCGGGCAAATGTACACGAGGTTCACCTAACGGAATCTTCTTTCTTTATACTAATGTGAATGACATAAACAAAATGGGTCCATTCGTGCGGGAAAAGCTGAAAGGTTACGGAAGCGAACGACTAGTGACGAAAGGATCAGGTTGGGGCTGAAACAACTGATATGGACATATGGATTTGTCAAATAACTATATGCAGATATACAATCAAACTAATCAATTTCAGCAGTTCGTTATAATTTCGCTACGATGCACAAAAACCCCACCAAAACAAGCAAACAAAAGAAAACCCCATATTCTCAGGCATACACACAAGGACACAGGGGCAATATGTTGTTGAATGAAATCCATAATGGTTTCATACAATTGGGTATCCGATCCTTACATTGTACATAGTGCACAGAAGCGAAGATTAAGTCAAAGAAATTAAGTTAATTCGCACATCACACCGCAATCTCCCACAACCGAAAAAGCGCGTACGCGCGCACACACAATCACACATACAGAATGCTACAGATGCTGAGCTCAACTACAAGGTGGCGATCTTCTCTTCTGTGTTTGTGTCTGTGTGCCTGTGTGTGACATGCATGTGTCTGTGTCCGTGCTCGCGTGCGTGCATACGGTGTGTGGGTGTGTGCATGGCTGACGCGTCAAAAAAGTGTGAATTAATCATATGTGATCCCTCTGTTATCATGAAACGTGTAGACCCGTCAAGATCCAGGTTAGAATTGATCTTCGCAACCCATGCTTATCTCATCCCGTGAAGATCCGTGTTAGAATTGATCTTCAGCAACTCATGCTTTTCTCACCTCGTGAAGATCCAGGTTAGAATTGGTCTTCAGCAAGCCATGCTTATCTCATCCCGTGAAGATCCGTGTTAGAATTGATCTTCAGCAACTCATGCTTTTCTCATCCCGTGAAGATCCAGGTTAGAATTGGTCTTCAGCAAGCCATGCTTATCTCATCCCCTGAAGATCCGTGTTAGAATTGATCTTCAGCAACTCATGCTTTTCTCATCCCGTGAAGATCCGGGTTAGAATTGGTCTTCAGCAAGCCATGGTTATCTCATCCCGTGAAGATCCGTGTTAGAATTGATCTTCAGCAACTCATGCTTTTCTCATCCCGTGAAGATCCAGGTTAGAATTGGTCTTCAGCAAGCCATGCTTATCTCATCCCCTGAAGATCCGTGTTAGAATTGGTCTTCAGCAGCCCATGCTTATCTCATTCCGTGAAGACCCGGGTTAGAATTGATCTTCAGCAAGCCATGCTTTTCTCACCTCGTGAAGATCAAGGTTAGAATTGGTTTTCGCAACCCATGCTTATCTCATCCCGTGAAGATCCGTGTTAGAATTGGTCTTCAGCAGCCCGTGCTTATCTCATTCCGTGAAGACCCGGGTTAGAATTGGTCTTCAGCAAGCCATGCTTTTCTCACCTCGTGAAGATCAAGGTTAGAATTGGTTTTCCTAACCCATGCTTTTCTCACCCCGTGAAGATCCGGGTTAGAATTGGTCTTCAGCAGCCCGTGCTTATCTCAATCCGTGAAGACCCGGGTTAGAATTGGTCTTCAGCAGCCCGTGCTTATCTCATTCCGTGAAGACCCGGGTTAGAATTGGTTTTCAGCAAGCCATGCTTATCTCATCCCGTGAAGATCCGTGTTAGAATTGATCTTCAGCAACTCATGCTTTTCTCACCCCGTGAAGATCCGGGTTAGAATTGTTTTCAGCAGCCCATGCTTTTCTCAAACCGTGAAGATCCGTGTTAGAATCAGTGTTTGAAATAACTGCCTGCCCGCTAGCAAAATGCTAGTTGACCTTTGCTCGGGCCTGTCAAAAGTTGCTGAAACTGGTCTGCCTGGCTAGTGATAATTTAGGAGCTGATCATGTCCTCAAAAACACAAACAAATAGTCAAATGCACGTTGTTACAAATAACTATCTAAATCGTAAGCAGTAACGTCATTGGTCAGATTCTGAAGTGCCAGAGTAAGACCCCAGTGAAGCCATTCACCACTGGTTGAAAGTAAAACCCAGGCGGCTAAGGAGGGTTTAGTCTGTCTCACAGTCCCTGAACCACATTATTGTCCCTTCAGCCTAGCCCTCCCTGCAGTGCTAAAGCCCTAAATGAAACAAGTCTAGATTTCCTAAGGTTCAGGTTCCTGAATCTCTGGGCTCACTGGGACTCCTTTTCAATTTAAATGGGTTCATTTGTTACTATCAAAATTATATATATTCAGGGACTAATCATTAGTCTAAGGAGGGTTCTACAACCCCAGGAATCTCAGGAAGTCAAAGATGATGAGCAGATAGATTTACATGTATATGAGGCAGAGGGTGGAGGAGATGGTGAGGCCCACAGCCCAAGATTCTGACTGACAGGTTCTATGATAGTGATGGCAGCATCTCAGACGCAGACAATAATGATGTGGAGGATTCTTCAAGTCATGATGCAATCATTCCCAATTAGAGTCGACAATTGCAGGCGTTGTGTTTGCAAGATGCGATTCATGAGGCCAAAAGCACTTTCAGATCTTTAAATACATTAATGATAACAAGTAGAGTATAGAAAACTAACACGCCATTGAAACATATGCCTAGTATGGATTGACATACATGGGTAGAGGGTACGGTTTTTCTGGTGTCGGTGAGTGACGTTCCCGTCAATAAAAGCTGCCTCTAAGATGACCACCGCTACCACAAGTCAAATGTAGTTAAGTTTTGAAAGCAATCAGGAACTGTTTACGAAAAAGACCCATCATATAAGCATGTGCAAACATACAACATTGCAATGTAAGCAACAAACAATCGTCAACAGCACGCGAGTAATTTACGTTATGTCAGATTGTATTACCCATAACTAAAAAACAAATACCAAATTTAGTGAGTGAGTGAGTTCAAATTTAAAGTCACTTTGGCAATATTTCAGCCATATCGTGACTAAAACAGTTCATATGTAACTACCTTATAATGTTATAATATAAAATCTGTCGCCAAAAGACAGTAAAACAACTAGCATATCACAGTTAGAGATTTAAAACTAGCATTGAACTTAAAATCATATACGATATAGTACAATACAATATAAAAGCTGGCTATAGATCACAGCAACTGAAGGTAGATCACCATACTCGGGACCATGGGGACTTACAGTACATTTGCTTCCTGCATGGGCCCTAGCTGGATTTACATCACCAACAACTGAAGGTAGATCACCATACTAGGGACCACGGGGACTTACAGTACATTTGCTTCCTGCATGGGCCCTAGCTGGATTTACATCACCAGCAACTGACGGTAGACCACCATACTCGGGACCATGGGGACTTACAGTACATTTGCTTCCTGCATGGGCCCTAGCTGGATTTACATCATCCCTTCAGCTGTCAGCGATTTAGATGTAATTAGCCATACATTAAAAATACACATATGCTACGATTAAAAAAGTGGAGAGTTTAAATTTACTTTGAATGTTTTGGGACTTACGTACCCTTTCAGGAGGACAATAATTTTACAGTGTTACAATACCCCCAAAATGTATGATTTGGGGCATTAAATGATATAGTTTAGATAACAAGCTGGTTATGTGTACGAGAGATACAGGTTAGTTGAACACAGAACAGTAAATGTTCGTTTTAAAGACCGACTTTTTAAGAACGTAATCACACGTGACGGTGATGATGTTGTAACGTTGCTGCGAAGCGTCATGGGACCATTGGTTACTTTGAAACAACATTTCCTTCTGTAGTAATACAGCATCGACGCAGATACACAGCCGCAGAACCCGGATGATCACTTTAGATAAACACAATGTAATTTACATTTAATTGACAGTTAGAATGGTCCATGACGTTACATGAAAAACCCCAAGGTCACCAAAAATCACGTGTTAGTACCCGTTTGAATGTCTGCATGCGAGCAGAGCGATGCTCATTCTATGGATTCCATTGTCGATCATGCCACTTTTTGGCCCTAACGTAAATTACTAAAGGTGTTACGTAAATTTCATACGAATATTTCTTTCGGAATCATTACGATAAAACGATTTTACATGTTGATGAAATTGAAGTGTACGTTTTGTCAACTATACAGATTGTTCTTTTACTTACTCTAAATAAGTATGGGTCCAAAAGTAAACAAATGCTTTATTCCAATTTGTAATTGTTGCTTGTAGAGATCTCAATGTCTCATTGTGTGATTGTTGCTTGTAGATGTCTCAATGTCTCATTGTGTGATTGTTGCTTGTAGATATCTCAATGTCTCATTGTGTAATTTTTGCTTGTAGATATCTCAATGTCTCATTGTGTAATTTTTGCTTGTAGATGTCTCAATGTCTCATTGTGTAATTGTTGCTTGTAGATGTCTCAATGTCTCATTGTGTGATTGTTGCTTGTAGATATCTCAATGTCTCATTGTGTTATTTTTGCTTGTAGATGTCTCAATGTCTCATTGTGTGATTGTTGCTTGTAGATATCTCAATGTCTCATTGTGTAATTTTTGCTTGTAGATGTCTCAATGTCTCATTGTGTAATTTTTGCTTGTAGATATCTCAATGTCTCATTGTGTAATTTTTGCTTGTAGATGTCTCAATGTCTCATTGTGTGATTGTTGCTTGTAGATATCTCAATGTTGCACCACTGTCTCGGCCATATTTACAGAAAAAATATTCACTTCTCTTTTGATTACATATCTGGTGTAAAGATTTTTACTGTTTTTGTCATCTATGGCGTTTGATCAAAATTCAGTCTTTGAAT